GTACCCTGTAAGTACCAGGATGATATTCACACATGCACACAAAGCCCAATTAAAGAGGCTTCATGCAGAGCTTCACACACTGACTGGATGAACCCCTGTGCCCTTGTGTGTGCACCACGTGCAAGGGAATGGGGACTGCAGCAGCGAGATGCTTGTGTTGCACCCTGAGCCAGCTGGGACAACATTTCCAGGGGCGTCTGAGTCCACATTCCAGTAGCTTTGTCATCAAATTACTTTATTTCCCCACATCTTCTGTCTAATGTCCTGTTTGAGCCTGGAGGTGTGTTTGCTTCTTGGTAAAGCCATCGGGCATCTCTCAGTTCCAGTGCAACTGTGTCATTGCAGTGGGTAAGTGCAGCCTCTCTGTTTTGTGAGCCCAGAAACCAAAATGCTTAAGTGACTTGGCCAACTCAGCTGGGACTGAAACCCTTTTGGACTTAAAAGAACATCCTTCCTTGCTAAGTACAGACTGCTGGTTATGTTCCCTGTAGACCTGGCAGTGACTGTGGCCTTCATCTGCCGCCCTGTACTTGGTTCACTCATCCTGGAGGAGGCCTGACCCAAAAACCTTTCCACAGAGGTGGCTGTGCTGCACAAACCATGTCAGTTAGAAAAAGTGGTTTCTTCATCTACTTTGAGGCTACCAGAGAAAATAACTTTCAGCGTACTGCTGAGAGGTTTTACAGCATTGCTGTCAGTACATGTATGACAAGGATATTTGCAAACCTTTGGAATTGTAATTGTAAAGGAATTGTAGCTTCTATCTCTACCTGTAAATGTGCCCTGTTTTGCTTGGACCACGAACAACCTGGTTTTGATACTTAGCCTCCCCTCTGTCCACCTGTATGCAGAAGCACTGAAGTAACATCCTTGCTAGCCATCTGGCACAAGCTGTGTCTGATGTGGCTTACAATTGGCAGAACATGTCTGTATTTTTTTGCTGAAATTTTTGTTGTTGTTGTTTTGTTTTGTTATTTCAAGTCCCTGGTCTTGGAGAAGCAGATCTCTAAATAGTTTAGCTCTTTCATTAGCCAGCGGCACCACTCCATGCTGTGCATCAACAAGGCTGGAGAACAAGACTGTCTTTAAATGAAGAAGCCCTGCCTTTTCCTCCCTGCATTCATACAAGTTAAACATGACTTCTTGTTTCTGTCATTCATCCTATTAAGCAAAGTCCAGACTGCCAAGTGAAACCTCGTTTGCCAATTTCCAGGGATGGCAAGCATGTATAGCTGAATCATAAACCCTGAAGGAAGGGCCTTATCTGATGTGGTACACCAGGCCTAATGGGGCTGGTCTATGCAGCTGCATCACCTTGGGTAAGAACTTCATCAGAGCCTCTTATAAATAGCATGCCTGATGTTACATGCATTGTGCCGAAGGACACAGGTGTTTATATTTACAGACCTAGTACTTAACTCCTTTAAGTGATTCTTTGGTGGTAGGATCTAATTGAGCAATACTCTAAACTTGTTTAATTCAGTTTGAAATTCCAGCTCTGCAGGAGGATTTTGGATCAAATGCGGTTTGACTAGTTATCGTCAGCCTTCCCTGTAGGATGGGGATGCATTGTGTTGATGATCTAAGAGTAAGAGTGCAAGTGAAGAAAGGCTGTCTTCACTTGTAGCCATTACTACCAAACATGTTGTTCTGATGTTTTACTCACAAAGCCCTAAGTGTCCTTATAAATGTAAAATTTCCTTCTTTTTCCTTGAGCAGATGGAAGACTTAGATGGAAATGAATAAAAACATAATTTGCCAGAGCCCTCAATTAATCATAATCAAGTTTGTGCATGTTATGCTCTACAAGGGTAGCAACAATGAAACACAGGGAGAAAAGGATGCTTTCCTCAGGCAATTCTGAAGACATAAAAGCAATAAAGGAGCATACTTCAAAATAATGTGGAGATATATGACTGCACTAAATAAAAATGCTTCTTTAACGTACTGTAAAAATAAAGATGTTTAGTTAGATTTATCATTCTTGTTATAAATGCAAATTCATCCCCTGGACTGCACCATTGGCTCTGAAATCACCCAAGGGATGGTTAAGGCCCACTATTTTCTGTAATTACTCTAACGTTGTTTAATTTGTTAAAGAGCTAACTAGATTGTTCATTCTTTTTATTCCAAGGTAGTGTATGCTGCACCTTGTTCCTGCTTATACGGACATTTTACTTGAGAGCTACATTTGGGCTATTTTTTATTTGATATAGTGAGAAGAACTTGGACTTGTACAAGGCCTTTGACATGGTTCTGCACCACATTCTTATCTATAAATTGGAGAAATATGGATTTGAAGGCTGGACTATCCATTGGATAAAGAGTTAGTTGGATGGTTGTAGCCAGAGGGTTGTGGTCAGTGGCTCTATGTCCAAGGGGAGGCCAGTGACAAGTGTCGATCAGGGTTCCATCTTGTGGACTGGTGTTTAACATCTTTGTCAATGACCTAAACAGTGGGACTGCGTATACCTTCAGCAGGTTTGCTGATGACACCAACCTGAGTGGTACTGGTGACATAGAGGGTGGTGAGGTACTGGGAACAGGTTGTCCACAGAAGGTGTGGATTCCCCATCCCTGGGGACATTCAGAACCAGGTTGGATGGGGACCCTGAGGACCCTTCCAACCTAAGACCTTCTATGAATCTATAATATGTGTCTAAGAATGGTTTGCTAATTAGTTTGCATGAATTGCCTTCAAACCTGTGAAAATGCATTTTTAAATTAGCTTTGCATAGAGCAATACATGTTAACTGAATGCAACCCCACTCCCCAAGTTCTCCCCTGTTTGACTTTGGAACATTCAAAACCAGTGACATTCATTTCTGCAGCCTCATTCAACCATTGCAATGAGCAAATGAAACAATTGTTTTATTTGTAAGAGGAGATTATCCCTTGAAGGCAGATAGAAGGATACTGCCTACAGAACCCTATTTGCAGGCACAAAGAGCGCTTAGTCAATTTTTGGCAGTAATACTGAGCCTATTAGTTTTGGATATGAGTTCGCTGATGTTCAGTGCTGTAGATTTCCAGTTAGTTCATGAAGAGCCTTTAAAATTACACACAGAGCTTCATTAATCGCCTCAGAAAAGAAGCAACGAATATCAGGCCCTCAAAGTGTCTGTGCACAAAATGGCCATTGATTTCAGTGAATATTCCTCAGTGGAAGACTGGTCCTACCTCCTGGGAAGGCAATTACAGCTTTCCCGTTAGTTACAGCAATGAGAGCTTTTGCAGGATCAGGTCCTATTAGCTGCTGTCTTTCTGTCTGTCTGCTTATCTATCTGCATTATCTAAATATGTGTTTTATGTACATAATCTGTAAGTCAGTTTGTTAAAAGTGTAAATCAAAATGGAGACCATCACAAGATAGCAAAGATGGGATCTTAAAAAAGAACAAAATCCAAACATAGCTTTGGGGTCCTGAAGTTGGTTGTTGTTTAGTTTTTTTTGGTCCTTTCTCCTTCTATCAGAGGACTGTTTGAATATTTGTTCTACACCAAACTATCCATAAGAGAATTTCCTGTGCCTTCCTTGCAAACTGCACAACCCCATGTGATCCTTGATCACAACAAATTGATTTATTTAAATAAAAGTAATGATCTTCTTTCCTTTAGCCAAACCCAAAGGCAAAATCCCATGTAACCCTGATCAGCAAATTGATATACTTATCTTCTTTTGCCCTCCTTTCTCAAACCCAAACAATACCACCCTGATCCCCAAGTAATAAGAAAATGATTTATGCAAACAAAAATAATTATCTTTCTTTGCTCTCCCCCCTCTAACTGTATAATCTCAGCAGCTCCTTGTTTAACAAATTGATTTATTTAAATTAAACAAATGGTGATCTTCTTTTGACCTCTGTGGAGCACCTCGGTGGCAAACTCCTATCCTTACCCCATACACTTAGAGGGACATATTTTGAAATATAGCAGCATTCCTAACTAACCTTGATACTTTGTGGTATGCTGAATCAAAGTCCATAGAAGCTCTGCTCCTATGCCATGAAAATAGGTTGTATCTCCTCTGAAAAATAATAAACGTAAACGGGATGTACCTTCCTGTGTATTATTGTAGGGCAAGGAAAGTTACTCATCCAGTTCCATATGAGGAACTTGACAGAGGGTGACTCTATGCAGTGTGTCTGCACACATCTCTCCCACTTAGCTACCCATAAGTGCCTGTCCAGATAGAGCTTTTAAACCGCTGGCAAACTCGGTGCTCAAATACGTGCAATGCTACCTCACCTAAAACTGACAGAGCCATCTAGTGCCAGCCAGATGGTGACAAACATCAGCAGCAGCTGACAGATGAGATCATAAACTCAAAGGATTTCATCCATTAGGTTTTAAGGATCTGTCAAACCACAAGTTGTATTGTAAGGAAGCACAACTTTTCTGGGGAGAAAGAGAGGCAGAGTCTTGCTTTAGAACCGTTAACTCAGTCTTTTTGGGAAAAAACACTCAATGTGTCCACATTTGGAAAACATTCTGTGGAAGGTGCATAAGTACACAGACATGTTTATGCATTTGTGTACTTTCACTGTGATAGTTTTATTTAAGATTGTATTTTCTGTGCTGTCCACCAGTATCTCTGTTTTGTGTAGCTGCTACTTAAATAGCCATTTTGGCATTACACAGAATTACATAATCACATGTGCTATATGCAAAAGTGCAAATAGTCCCACTTAGCACCTAATCATGTGATATCTGTTGTGAAATGATGGTGAAAGAGCCAATAGATATGACTGTTACTTTGCTATTAGCTGTGATTCTTCAGAGGCGAGTACAGCCTGCAGCTGGAATTTAGCATAGATGGAAGAGGGATTAAGTGATAGTGGGAGCCTGAGTGTGTTGTATATAGAAACATTCTTCCCTCAACCCGTTTCTGTGGTGTATATACTCTGAGTAGGACACTGCTGTTAACCAGTCTTCCAGATTTTGTAATATGCTGGGATTTTTTTGCAGTTCATTCACACTAGGTGTCTGCTTTGGTTTCAGACTCACTTGCGTCCTCCACCAGAAGACAGTGACATGACACAAATGGTAGCACAGAGCTCTTACTGCTCCATTCAATAAGGGATCCTCCACGGACAGACTGTGACTCCCCAAAGGTTGCAGGGAGAGGTAAGAATGATCATACAGCATCAGAAGTGTTTCATTCCAAAGCCAGCAGGTTTTCACTCTCTCTAATCCTTCACCTTCAAGGTTTGGCACTCTTTGTGATCCTCTTAAAATATATGGGAGAACCAATAAGAATGATTAATGTTATTGTGAAATCATTTCCTTTTTTTTTTTTTTTTTTTTTTTTTCCCCAGTGATTTTTAGTCAGTTTTATAATGTTGGGCACTGAGTTGGGAATCACTGTGTCACAAGCTTGGTCATGTCATGTGAAATCTTCATAGGGAATTCAACTAAAATGGAAGAACCTTGCAAAAACTGAACAAGAATTTGCAAAGCAGGATTACAGGCACTTTTGAAGCTTTTCAAATCTCACTCTTGTCTCCTTCTAGTTTGAATATATTTCTTTGTTCTCCTGAAAGTCAAATAATTGAGGTTTTTGCATCTGATCCTTTGAATATATGGTCTCAGAATATCCTTGTGTATCTGCTTCAAAAAATTCAATTTCATAGAGCTTTAGGCTCTGATCCTCATCATGCATTACCTTTACCCCGACTACAGGAATAGAACTGATATGAAACTTAGACTGTGGTGCTTTGCAAAAATGTTACCATGGGAAAAAAAAATATTAAAATTCTGAAAGATTGTGGCAGCCTTTTAAAAAATTTGGCCCTCTCTGTCATCTTGCCAGAGAGGTACGTATTTCTCCTGCAGACAGGTTGGAGTTAGTGGGACATGAAATAATGTCAATGGTAATGGTAAGAGGATTAAACTGCAGTTCTGCTGTTATTGAACAGTTTGCAGAGACCATATTAAACAGCCACATCAGTCCGCAGGTCAGCCCTGCAGTTCCACTAAGCAAACACAGATGCAGAGTTCCCTTTCATGGTCATCATTTCATGCCTTTGACATCCCTACACTGTCGGGACCCAGTGGTGTATTTACAGCCTGAACATTAAAGATTCCTTTTATTTGAATCCTGAGTGGATACCAACAATTAAATCAGTAGTAACGAGAAAAAGGGGGGACACTTGGATGGACTTTAGTGCAATACAAACAAATAAGGGAAAAATTAAGCTGCTAGAACATTCCCTGATGGGGAACTTTGGGGACTTCTTCATTTGCTGACAAAAATTCTCTTTCAGAATCTAGTTGGTTTTAAATCTCTTTTCTTTGGGGCTGATATCTGCATTTTGCCAAAGCTGATCCTGAAGTTGCAGTGGTTGAATTTCACAAGGCTAGTGCAGTTCAGCTCATGTCAACACTGCCAGGCCTTTGTGCTTGTTCAAAGCTTGTGTGAGTCCACTGGGACTACAAATTGGCCAGAAGAGATTGAGGGAGCAGTCTGTCTTACAATATTCCTTTCCTTTTCCATTTCAACAGAAACTTTGGCAGTTCTTTAACATTTTCCTTAGTTTTTTTGTTTGTCAGAAGTGAAGCAAATAAACAAAGCAATTATGTGATGTGTGTATATATATATATTTATAAACACATACATTTGTGTAGGAAGGACAGAATATGGCAGATTTTTGTTTTGTCTGAATGGATTTACATGGCTTAGTCCTGCAGTTTTCAAGTAATGATAGGAATACAGCTAAGCTGAGTGTCAGGGTAGTCCTACAGAATGTAAAGATTATTGACAAAGAGTTCTTATAGAAAATAAATCAGCTGATGAATTACAGAGCCTTTGGTCAATAATTGTTTAATATGACACAAATTTTAAGTGAAATTTACAGCATACAAGCACTCCACAGGTAGCCACTTCTTCCTATGACATGAAATAAACATGCAACCAGAGAGTGTAGCAGTGAATTACATTCAACCTCAGAAATGCTTTAGTATGTCTTCAAGAGCTGCTGCCTGCTTCAGTGATGGATTATAACTTAGCATGGGATCCCACAGGCATGGTAAGGTATTTATGTAGTCTTATGATTGCTCAGACACTTGGAACAAATGTATAGCTGGTGCTGACAGAAATCAGAGTATTACTATCTCCCACTTTATTTCATTTATTTGTATTTAGCAAGTGCTGGAATGCAGCAAGCCACCAAGCACAACTGCAGCTGGAATATGGTTTCCAGAGCTTATTTACAGTAGCTCTTATTCACAACGGGTAGTGGTATATCACTCCATGTGTATTTCCATTGATGTCAGGGGGTCCATTAGCAGAAAGAGGTGCCATTCTGTGTAGCTGAGTATCAGTTTGGTCCCATGTTTGAAAAGCTTGTGTATTGTTCTGTTTGTAAATGTGTTTGCAGTTTGAAAAAAGCCCTATGCCTGATCCTCACCAAAAGGCTAACAACACTGCGAAATGTTGATGAAGTTGGTAGGGTGCAGGTTTTGCAGTATTTCATTGCTTTGCAGGAAACAATTCTACATGCTCTTTATTTAGTATTGGACAGATCTGTTTTCCACGTGCTATTTTGAGCTCCGTGCTTAAACTGATCCAAAATTCAAAGAGAAAAGAAAAAGCTGAGATTCATTTCAGCAGCAAACAATGTCAGGTGATGTTGATTTAAAGAAAACATTAATCAATCCAGATTTGCCTGGAACTGGGCCCAGGTTCACTCAACAGGTTGGTGAACCTTAGCAAATCTTCCAGTGAATCTGTTCTGTGTTTTGACTTTGTAACACGATCTGAAATCATCTGAGTTTCATGAGGTTTTGTTGTGCACATTTTGGAACACTGGTGGGGGAGTGAATCTAGGGAAACACAGAGATGCTACATTTTGCATGATGTGACAAGGTAAACTGTATTTCACTCTTCCTGACACTCCTTGATACCAAGTTGAAGAACGGTGTTGATGCTGTCAGCTTAGTATTAAAAGAGGAGACTATCACTATCTGTCAGTATTCCTGTGTCTACAGTGGTCTTAGATTCAGAGCCAAAATAAAGTCTTCAAATTGTACTCTACATGACAGTATAGTTAATTGTGTACTGTTATTTTTTCCCCTTGTTTGGGGTAAATGCCAGAATTTTTCCTGCATAGACAGATTCTGGAGTTGTGAGGAAGGTGTTAGGTCTTTTGATGTATGCTGGTTTGAAAAAGTTACATAGTGCTAGAAAAGATTAGGATTTTATTGTGAGCCCATGGATAAACAACTTATGCTTTAACTCTGTTCTGAATTCATAAATAGGTGTACCTGGCCTCCACAGCTGAGGATGAAATATTTAAGGTCCGTCTACACCCATCAGGTCAAATATATGATAAGGTGACATTTTCTATTAATTTTATTTCTACTCTGAGCTAGAGCCCAGAGCAATAGAGATGTGAGACACTCAACACAAGAAACAAAACCTGGCTCTTCAGTGCCTGCCAATTTTTTCATTCTGATTTAGAGTGAGCATCAGAATCATTTTGCTGGAGCTGGGATTTTAGAGAGAAGGGCTGATAGAAGAAGCTATGAACTTTTTGGCACTGATTTGTTGCCTCATACTTGAGATAGACCTGTAGGTCAGTATTATGAGAGATGGCCTGGAGAAAGGAGGAGGACAGTGCATGGAGGGTGGGTCAGTGAGTGTAGCCTACTGTCCTAGCATGTATACAAGGTCAAACTGGCTAATTTAATGGTCTTTTCTGAACTGAGAAATCTCTTAAGAGGGAAAAATCAAAGTCTGCAAAGGTAATAATTAAGAAAAAATATAACAGGCTGCAGTGTCCTCCAATGCCCCTGTGGTTCTTCCCCTCCTAACCCAACGCACGGGCAGTGATTCAGCCGCAGATTGACTTGTTCTGTCAGTCAACTTAGAAGTACAGCAGGAAGGAAAAACAGTTTGCCAATAATATTCAAGCTGAAGCTGACATCTTTATTTTCCTCTAAAAGAGTTGCATTTGCACCCGCTTGTATCACTGCATTTTTCCACTAAGGTTGTCTCACTTATTTAACTTGACACACAGAGCACCCCTCAGAGGTCTTTGAGATTCAAACCAGCATTGGAAGTGACAGCCCAGATAACGTGAGTAATCAAGTTGGACCTTGTGGGACTGCACTGACTACTTTTTAATTGATAATTCCAGGTTCCTATAATAAATTTATTTCTTAATTATATTCACTGTGTCATACATGGTAGCTAATGATTACCACTAGTTTAAGTTTGCAGCCTTAGAAGACGTGTTCCCCTCCCCCAGTATTTAATCACAATTTTCCTTCTAAATTAAGATTTTCTGACAAAGAAAACAGACCAAAGCTGCACATTAAATCCAATTCCTCCCAAATAAATGAAGGTAAATTTTAGGTACTAAATTAGATAAGTGATTTTAATTAGCTAATCATTTCATGAAGATCATAAAGCATTTAAATAACACTGAAGTTATGTATATTTAAGCAGTTTTATGGAGAATTAAAGTCTTAAGTGGTAAATTTAAAATGTAAATACAAAAGTGAATGTTGGAATGTTAATTGCTTTTCCTGAGTTTCTCACATGGCCTGAGATGTTACAGGAGGAATCAAGAATTACAGTCATAGGAATAATGTGGCCAATCTAAAGCTTATTAAAGTCCTTGGATTCTTTCCATGAAGTTTAGCAGCCATTGCCCCAAAACAACAAATGCCTTTACATGTCTGACTTACAGCGCTGTTAAAGTTTCTTGTTTATTATAACTGTACATGTGATGTCAGTATTCTTAAATAACCACACATTTCTAGTGTAAGCTTCCTTTTAGAAGCCAAGAAATTTTAGTTGACCTGAAGAACTTACCTGATACTCTTTGAAAAATACATCTTGGCAGTAACAGCCATTTACACCATCAGGTCATTTCACATCAGAAGAAAAATTTACCTACTAGGAGAAGCTGATGCATTCAGTCAACAAAGCTCAGCAACAGACCGGGTCATTATTAGTATGAATTCTCACGTGCCTGTCCTTAACTCAGTGAAGCTTTACGTTGGTTTTGATTCAATATATAGTTAAAAATAGTTAAAATTGAAACTTAATTTTACAGTTTTGTTGCTCATAATGTTGGAAACTAACAGGTTAAAATCAGGAAAGTAAGGCTGAAAAATCA